GCGTGGATCATCAGTTCCCGGGCACTGAAGCCGTCTTCGTGTCCAGAAGAGCTGACCACGACGAACCCAATCTTGTGGGGCATTCTGCTCGCGGGCGCTGTCTGTAAGGGCAGAGCGTTTCTTTAAAGGAATTCACTACTCTAATACTGAAGATGGTAGTTTGTGCTGACATCTGAGGGGATTCACAAAGTATCCAGAACTTTCCATTCCTTTTTGTTAAACGCTTTAGAAAGGACTCTTCTAGTCCTGATTAACGCACCACTCACAGGGACTTCTGGCAGTATCTGTGCAGAAGTTTGACCTGTGTCATACGTGACAGGTTCTGGCCCTAGTATAAATTACTGAATTATTATTATTATTATTTTCTTTTTTTTCCAAAAATTTATTGAGCAACAAATAGCAATGAGACAGTTTCAAACCAAACTGGTATGACAGTTTCAATAATTAACACATTGCATACATTCTTCCTAGTGGTTAATTGCTGTACAAGATGCAGACATGATACCCTATTTACAAATACCATTAGAACAAATCACTCTATTCATTTAGAGAATGTAACTATATATTTATCCTAACCATTTGAATACACAGATACGAAATGGAAATTCATCTGCATCCCCTTTTTGTTGTTAAGTTCTGTTATTTGAATATTTATTTTTTGTTTATTTATTTATTTATTATTTTGTGAGCTTCGAATTTATTTATTTATTTTTTTCAAAATTTTATTGATAAACAGATAGCAATGAGACAGTTTCAAATCAAATCGGAAGTACAGTTTCAACAAATAATACACTGCATATATTCTTCTTGTTATTTGAATATTATAGGTGTGTAAACTCAGAAAAATAGTCTAAAACAGTCCAGTAGCCCATAATAGTATTGGGTCTTCTGCTTGACTGGCAATGTCAGAAATTGTTGACCTGAGTCCCCCACAGCTCAACATAACAGCATGGCTTTACTTCTTATACTATGTTTTTATACTTTTCTGCTGGGTGGTTAAGACCAAGGTAAAGCAGGACCTGTGCAACAAGAGTTGTAGCTTTTGGGTCTGATAAGGTCAGTGAAATCCCCTCAGGATTTATCCTGAGATCCTGTACCTCAGATTGTAGAACCTTTGTCAGTGTCAGCCATGTGTAAATTACTGAATTATTATGATGGGCATCTAATATGGATGGTTGAAGCCCTTAAAACTGATAGGTATTTTCAGGTGAACGGCGCAGCAGAGAAACAGGCAGAAGGAAAAAGGGAAAGGGGCTTTATTTTCTTTGAGGACACAGACAAGAATGTGGGGAAGGCTGAGGACTTCTCTCTCAACTAGAAAGAGGGAGGCTGAGGCTTTTATGGCCTTTACCAGGGGAGCGGTTGAAGGGCACGTTCATTGTTTTTTTTTTTGCGGAACCAAGGCTTGAACTCAGGCCTTTGCGCTTGCCAGGCAAGCGCTTGTTCTACTGAGCTATCTCCCTGGCCCCTGAAGGGCATGTTTAGATATACCTGAGAAACTCATTAGAGGTCTTCCCCGAGGCGGCGGGAAGGATGAAAGGAAATTATGTCCTGGGCTGAGCTGGAGAAGAAGGGGGAGGTGGTCTTGGGAAGACGGGCTTTTATTTTAAGGCATTCAGCCATACTGGTGGCCATCATGATGATTTCAGCAATTCATACTAGGGCAGAACCTGTCAAGAACAACAGCTCATCTTCCCAGGACCACCTCCCCCCTCCTCTCCAACCCAGCCCAGGGGGCACCTTCTGTTCGCCTTTCCCGCCGCCTCAGGGAAGGCCCCAGTCAGCTCCGCAGGGGTTCCTAAACATCCACCCCAAACTCCACCCCAGCAGAAGCCCATAAAGGCCAGCTTCTTCATCTCAGGTCAGAGGACCTCCACCTGCCCTCGATGCGATCCTCTGTCTTCGGAGTTAATAAAGGCCTCTTTTAACTTTCCTATCTCCTATGTTGCCCAGAAAAGCTATCAATATCTGAGCAGAACTGTGTTCCCCGAAGATACGCTGTGGTCCTTCCTTTGCTACCTGCGAATATGAACTCATCCACTAGGAGTCCTTGCTGCACATGTGACCTGGCTAAGACGAGGCTGTGGTCGAGTGCGGTGGCGCGCCTGTGACGACAGCACTCTGGAGGCTGAGCCAGGAGGACCGCACGCCTGAGGCCCGCCTGGGCAACTCAGCAAGGACCTTCCCCCAAAATGAAACAGAAAGCTGCTGGGGGGCTGGCGAGATGGCTCAGTGGTCTAAAGCACCCACTTAGAACAAGCTTAGCAAAGCACAGGGACCGGGGTTCAATCCCCCAGCACCACATGCCAGCCAGCCCCGCCCCCTGGTGGGCTGAGCTGCCCCCCAACAAATAAATAAATAAAAAGAACAGCTGCTGGGGATGTAGCGCAGGGCAGTTTCTGCTTTTACCCACAGCCCCCGCCATGCAGTCATAAGGGTAGGCTCAGTCCAGTCAGCCCAATGTGACTGGTTTTCTTGAGAAGGAAAAAGGGGCCAGGGGAGCTTGGTGGTACAGCAGTTCAGCTGCGGTGCTCACCAGGACGGCAAGAAACGAAGAAAAACAAGCACACACAGAGGGAGAGACAGACCCACGGGTGAACACCATGCGATGGCAGAGGCAGGGACTGCAGCCGCTCCCTGTGAGCCTCAGAACGGGCAGCCTGGCTGGAGACCGCGGGAGACAGGACTGACAGGAAGATCGTGGCCTGGTCCTGCAGGACACGCGGCCCTGCTGTCCCGATGCAGGTTTGCAGCTCTGAAACACATTTCTGGCCTAGTGGTGGTCTCGTCACGGCAAAAGGGAGGTGCAAACAGAAGAGCCTCTGCGCCAGCCTATTTTCTGTTAGCAACAAGGCAGGGCAAAGCTAACTTAACCACTGGCATAATTACTACGGAACAGCGTATGACAGGGAAGCAGGGACCACAGAGACTACGCTACACACAGAAACGTGTACCATGTGCACTCTCGATTGGCCGCGAGGGTATTGGAACACACTAGCTCACTGATTTTTTTGGCACTTGGAATCAAACTCAGGCCCTTGTGCTTGGCAGGCAGGCGCCATGCCACTGACCTATACCCTGGCCCATCACAACTTTTCAGTGAAGCTGACCCCGAAGCTAGCTCAGCAGCATCACTTGGAGGATGGACATTTCAATGCCTGCTCTTGCTGCTTGGCATCCAGCTCTCCTCCTTGGTATTTTAGGGAAGGGTCTACAAGGTGTTCAGGATCTCACTACTAGATCGGACTCGTAGTGATCCGCCTGTTTACAGCCTCCCAAGGGCTGGGATTACAGGCGCGCACCACCACGCCCATTCTAAGCTCTCCTCCTTGGGAAGCCCACGTTGACCAACTGTCCCCTGCTCACCCTGTCCTCTCCTCCCTGTCCTCGTGGTGCACACTTGGCCCACTGTGCAGTAAGGGGTTCAGGGATAGGACCTGAACAGACAGCCTGCAGTGCACGGGGCAGGCACAATGTTAGGACTAGGCTGCGATGACAGGGAAGGAGCTTTCTTCCCATGGGGACTGCTGGGCTCAGGATAACTCTGCCCTGGCTGCAGGGGCCACGGCGGGGCTGCCCCACACAAGTGGCGCTAAGAGGCTGCAGTGGGTGCCAGCCCCTTGTGAGCCCTCCAGTGTGGCCACCTGGAAAGCTCAAACTGCTCCAGGGCTCTTGGTTTATTGTTCCAGCACCCAGCTCCTGCTAAGCAAGCCAACGAGTTAAATCTTCCGCAAAAGCAAGACCCAAAGTCCTCCTGATGCAGGACAAAGAAGAACCTATCAGTGATTTCTCCAGGATGAAATCCACCCACTGCTCGCTGGGACGCTACTTAGGAGGTGCCACGCAAACACCCCACACTAACATGCTTGGTGCCTGGGCTTTCTGTCACCGAGAGCCCAAGCAAGGACTTTCGGAAAGAACCAGCTAGCTCGTGTTGGTAATGAACAAAAGCACCCAGAACAGAATGATAACCATGACAAACGATCTTAAGCATATTTTCATACAAAGTTCCCTGAAGGAGACCACAATATATCACTGGGAAACAAACCAAGAGAAGGAGAAAGCGCATGCAAAGAAAGCTGGCCAGAGTGATTTACTCCAGGCTCCACCAGCCCATGCGCTTTCCTGGCCCTCTGATGTCAGCACCGCACAAGCAATAGCTTCTCCCCACCCAGCAGGACCTACCACGCCCCTCACTTGCCCTCTTTCCTGGAGGGATTTTCTCTTGGCTACCCAAGCCCAAGGGCCTGAGGTCTTGCTGACCCCACCCTCCTTCCCTGGCCCCTCTTCTCCACTCAGCTACAGCAGCTGCCAGCTACCCACCTGGACACCCCTCTCCACCCTGCCCTGTGCTCTGGTAGACAAACTTTGCTTTCCTGACCTTTCTTGTCTTAAATTTGAATATCCAGCCAAGCTTAACTAAAGCTGGGCGGCACCATCCCTTGGCCTTCCTTCATCTGTGGAGCAGGGCCTGTGTCTGCCTGTCCGTCTCAATACCCTGGGATGGCACTAGGATTTACAGAGAACTTTTAAGTCCAAAAGCCAGGGTCTCCACTATCCAGTGCTGCCCTAGCAAATCTCAAAGTCCTGGCACTCAAGAACCAGGCAGGAGGACGGCAGGGACACTGTGCGGGCGACCTAGACCTCAGTGCAGACATCCACTGCTTTTCAGTGCCCCCCTCCACCCAAAGACCGTCCACCTGGAACCCTCCCGGCCCTTTTGCGTAAACAGGAGATACTTTGGGGCTCTCTACAAATCCCCATGCACCTTTAGAAAATCCGTGCACGGCAGCTACCTGGGAGGCTGAGGAAGAAGGATCGCCAGGTCAACTCAGCGGCAAAGCAGGGCGCGGAGCATAGCGCAGGGTGCCGCGCTCACTTAACGGTGTCGGGCGGGCCCGGGCTCACGACAGTGTGTGCAGGGGAGGAGCCGGAGCACGGAAAGACCACGCTTATCTGCAGCGGTGGCAGCTGTTTCGGGCTAGGCACCAGCCGGTCTGCACCACAGCAGGCGGGTTCCCAGCCTCCCCGGGGACTCCTGCACCCCGCAATCGCCAGATGCACCCCGGCCCCGCCCGCGCATCCGGCTCCCCCGCTCCAGTTGCACACCACAGCCTCACCCTGCGCAGACCTGTGAAGGGCACACGACGCTGCTTGTCGAGTAATCCGGGGTCCCCAAGGAGCTTCAGGGAACCCCGACACTTGCGGCGGGAGCACGGGCTGCTCTTTACCTCTCCAAGACCAGCGCCCGCCCCTCGGCCTCTGGCGGCCCGGCCTCCGTGGGCCCAGGCTGGGTTCGGGCGCACAGGACGACCGTGCCCCCCGGGCCGGGCTGATGGGTCTCGGCAGGGAAAGGCGGGCCGCGGCCACCCCCGCCCCGCGTACCTGCTCGCACGCCCGGTCCCCAGGCCGCCGCG